CTCACACTCACACATGTACACATGCTCATACACATTCTCACACACATCCCTATACACACACATTCCACACATTCTCTCACACTTACACACGTTCACACGTATACACTCACACATTCTCACACATTCTCTCACACACCCACACACACATTCTCACACTCTCATACACATTCGCATACACATTGTCACACACAATTTCACACACACTACTATACACACACATTCAGACACATTCTCTCACACTTCCACACGTTCACACGTATACACTCACACATTCTCACACACACATTCTCACACATTCTCTCACACACCCACACACATACATTCTCACACACCCATACACATTCACATACACAGTCACACACATTCCTGTACACACACATTCCGACACATTCTCTCACACTTACACACGTTCACACATATACACTCACACACATTCTCTCACACACACACCCACACACTCTCATACACATTCACATACACATTGTCACACACAGTTTCACACACACTACTATACACACACATTCAGACACATTCTGTCACACTTCCACATGTTCACACGTATACACTCACACATTCTCACACACTCATACACACACATTCTCTCACACACACACACATTCTCACACTCTCATACACATTTGCATACACATTGTCACACACAATTTCACACACACTACTATACACACACATTCAGACACATTCTCTCACACTTACACACGTTCACACGTATACACTCACACACATTTACACACACATTCTCACACACAATTTCACACACACACTCACTCCCACACATTCACACATAGACATACACACACATTCCCATACACATAGATTCACATGTTCTCTCACACTCACACATGTACACATGCTCATACACATTCTCACACACATTCTCACACACACCTTCTCACACACTCATTCACATTCTCATACACATTCACATACACAGTCACACACATCCCTATACACACACATTCCACACATTCTCTCACACACACGTTCACACGTATACACTCACACATTCTCACACACTCATACACACACATTCTCTCACCCACACACACATTCTCACACATTCTTTCACACACACACACATTCTCACACACACACACACACACACACACACACACTCATGCACACACTGTCCCAGAGTTTGACGGTCCAATGCTCTTACAGAGTCACTTCCCCTCAGATCTTTCTTTGCTCCCCAACAGATCATTTTTTCCATTAGTAAATTCAAAGCATCGCAAACATCGCTCTTATATTCACACAGATCAAAAAGGGGAATCCAGCCCCAAAATTCTGAGATGAATTTATTAGGCTCAGACCTGGCTTCTATTAGGCGGCTCGGCCCCAGCCCCCTCGCGGCTCTTTTCATATGATGTCATACCTTTCGGGGCTCCTTTGATCGCCTGCCAGGAGCCTGTTCAGCTGCCGACCTTTGCCCCTCTCCTGCGCTCCCTGCCCCCCTGCAGGTTTCGGGTACCTGACGAAGCAGCTCATGGGACTGGCTGGCGGCCGCGTTGTCCTGGCCCTGGAAGGAGGTCACGACCTGACAGCCATTTGCGATGCCTCGGAAGCATGTGTTTCTGCTTTGCTGGGAAACGAGGTAGGAAGACAACGAAAGGTGTTAGGGACGGTTTTACGTCGATGAGATCAAGGGGCGGCGGCGGCGGCCAAGTGCCCCAGACGGCCCCTGGTGGGCTCCTGCAGACCCCACCGGACCCGGCAATCAGCGGGTTTGGATGGGCTCAGGAGTTTGCAACGGGGCTGGGCGGGGAGGGACCTGCCCAGTCACCCGGGGAGAAAGCCGGTGGAGTGCTGCCCGCACCCCCGGGGTGGCCTCTGGTGTGTTTGCCTCACCTCACTGAGTCTTCCTTCTTGTTGTGATCATCTCTGGGCTTCGGGTGGAAGGAGGCCACAGAGGTCTTCTTTGGGTAGACTGAGGCACAGAGGTGAAGGTCATCTCTCCCACTTGTGTCTAGCTCTCAAAGGTTTGTGGCCCCTAGTTGGGGCCAAACAGCATCTTCGGGGCATAGATGCTCGCTCCTCATGGTCCCATTTTAAGGCTAAGGAAAATGAGGCTTAGAGGACCTTGCCCAGGGTCAGAGGGCTGGTACGTGTCTGAGGCTGGATTTTCACTCGGGGCTTCCTGACTCCAGCCCTCTCTCCCCTGAGCCCAAAGGAGGTTTACAGAAGGGTTTGCATGTGAGCAGGCAGCAAAGATGATTGTAGGGGAGCAGCCGCCAGGCGAATGGGCTGGCCCTGTGTGATCCGTGTCCTGGGGTCCGCCAGGCCCCCCACGCCCTGCCTCTGCCGTAACTGAGGACCAGAGAGGGGGCATCCTAGCGCCTCCCTGACACATTCACAGAATCCAGGGTTGAGGCTGAAACCCAGGCCCCTGCCCCAGCTCAGCGCACGCACTGCTGCTTCCCCTGGAGACTAGTCACGAGGCCTCGGCCTGCCCTCACAGGGCCTCTGATCACTGTGGGACTGGAGGCCACCCTGACGGAATGCACAGCAGAGATTCAGAAGACGAGGGAGGGACTCCCTACTGAGGCCACTCTATCAGCAAGCTTTTCTGAGTCTGCTGGGGACCAGGCACTGCCCTCAATGAGCTTCCACTCTCTCTGGGGAGGCGGCACCGGCCCAACTAAGTAGATACTGAGTAATGCAAGTGGAAGGCAGTTGGGAAGCAATCAAGCAAAGGTTCACCTGGAGCGGCTTCAGCTGAGCTCTGAAGGAAGCTCAGAATTCTAGGAGGCAGAAGGGAGAAGGGGATGTGGTTAGGATGGGGTGCAGCCTGGGCAAAGGTGCAGTGATGGGAGATGAGGCGTTAGGCCTGGGATGCTGGGGGAAGGCAGCCTGGCGGGACTGAAGAGTTGCTATCCAAAAGCTTCGTGGCTGAGTCGTAGCTGAGGGGGCGTGAGGGCACTCCTGTGACTGGCTTAGTTCTTTTGGACTCTGTGTGAAAGATGGATTGGGGCAGGGAGGAGCCATTTGGCAGTTCCTGAGCGTGCGGAAGACAGACTGGGTGCAGGAGCGAGAACCCCGATGGCACCCTCAGCCATTTGGTCAAACAGCTCAGCACAGGTGGCTGAGAGCACCAGCAGGAGTGGGTGACGGGGGAGAGGAGCGCCAAGTGGCTGGATATGTGGACTGGGGGGTACGTGGCGCCAAACTAGGAATTAAGGCCGTAGGTCTGGCTGAGAATGCTCAGGAGAGGCCGTGGTGAGCAGGCCCCTCTGCTTGGGGACCGGGAGGTCAGCGAGGGAGGGCACGATCCAGAAGGGAAGATCCCCAGAGACCAGAGAGGAGAGGTGGGGGTCCAGGGTCAGATCCTACCAAGCACCCAAGGGAGCTTGAGGACCGGGAAAGAGCCTCTGGCTTTGGCAATTAGCAGGGCCTTGGGGGCTTGGCGGAGGGGGCCAAAGGGAATCCAGATGCCAAGAGGCTGGGGAAGTGAGGGAAACAGAGGCCATGAACGTCGACTGGATCCTCCAGAAGAGGGAGGCTGCCCGCGTGGAGAAGGAGCTGACCGGAGCTGGGGGTCCAACTTCTGAGGCTAGAGAGGCCTGAGCCTGATTTAGGGAAAGAGATAGGGGGACCAAGAGGGCAGAGAAAAAAAGAAGGGATGGATAGAGGGAGACTCTGGGAGGGTCCCAGCCGGGGGGGGGCGGGGCAGAGGCAGGATCTGAACCCGCGTCTTCTTGGCTCCGGAGCCCCCATCAGGCCGCTCTCACGAGTGCCGGGAAGGATATTTGCTACCAAAGGAATGGGGGTCCCCAAGGGCTTGGTGCCAGGGTGGGGCTGAGGAGGGCTGGCAGTGAGCTGCATCAGGTCAGAAGCGTGAGGAGGGGCCCAGGCAGAAGGCCACCGAGGAGCGAGAAATGGTCTCTGGCTGGCGGGCTGGGCGCCACTTCTCAGTTCTGCTCTCACTCACCACAGGCTTTGTCCTTCAGAGAAGCTAATTGCTTTGCCCAAGGTCACACAGCACATGCTAAGCCTGGGGCCAGCTCCTCCCCTGTCCCTCCAAAGGCCCAAGGATTTATTATCCAATTTGCGCTCAAGTTTGTAGGAACCAGGATTTGAATCTACACCCTCGCCCCTAAACCCAGAAAGAAAATCCTGTCTTCCCTGAGCCAGCACCGCTCCCCAGATGCTGTGGGGTCCTTTTATGTGAGGGAGGGGCCTCCCACCCCACACAGACCTAAACGTGGCACCGATGATCCCTCAGTCTGGTGTCCACGTCTTACAGATGAGTCCAGAGTCAGCATCCAGACTCCCCACCCAAAGCCGTAGGCATCCGCTGATGATTGTTCCGTGGAACCCGGCTGTCATGGGCCAGCCTGCTGGGGGTCACTGCGGCCTTCTCTGTAGCAGTCTGCTGCCCAGTGAGAGCCTGTCTGTATGCGTGTGCCTGTGCGTGTGCGTATGGGTGTGTCTCACTGGATTTCTGGAGATAACATGTCAGAGCTGTGTACTTAATGTCTCCCATTCCAAGACAACTTGCCCGTTCTGCCTCTGAACTGGAGCTTAACTCTCAGAACCCCAGAACGTGGGGGTTGGGAGGGACTCCAGAAGTGGTCAGCCGGCCCCCGCCATGAAGACGTCTCATGAGGGCTAGGCCCCCCCACCTCTGAGGCGGCCCAGGCCGCTCTGGGGAACCCCCCCTTCCCGATTGTGAAGGGAGCACTGAGTCCCAAGCAGATGAGGCTGACCCACCTGAGTGGGCCAATAGCGAAGGAAGGCCCCAGAGGCCAGGGTGCTGACCTTTGGGCAGCCCCGCCCCACACTGTGACCTGAGGTTGTGGCCTGTCCTCTGGGGCCACCATCTGTGAGGTGAGTGAGCTGGGCCAGATGGCTTTCCCAGCTCAAGCACCGCAGACTTCTTTCTCTGAGAGGCAGTGCGGCCCAGTGGCTAGAGGGCCAGCCTTGGAGGGAGAAAGTGGGGTTCAAGGCCAACCTTAGACACCTACCAGGGATGGAATCCTGACCCACTGCCCCCAAGATACAGACAGGGTGCTGGCCCGTGCCAAATCATGGCTCCAGCGCCCACCCAGTAGGGTTATGCCTCGGGAGTCTTATCTGCCTGGGTTCTAATACTAGCTCCGTCACTAGGGGCATGCCGACTAGGCATGCCACCTAGCGACCTCTCAAGGCTTCAGTCTCTCCATCTGTAAAATGACAGATTCATCTCCAAGATCCCTTTCAGCCCCAAATTTGCCACCAGGCATCATTTATTAAGTGCCTACTATGCACCTGGCCCAGTCTTAGGTGCTGGAGATGCAGAGAGGAGTGAGACAGGCCCTGCCCTCGGCAAGCCTATTTTCTCTCTTTTTTTTTTTCTTTTTTTTTTTGTGGCAATTAGGGTTAAGTGACTTGCCCGGGGTCACACAGCTAGTAAGTGTCAAGTGTTTGATCTGAGGCCGGACTTGAACTCAGGTCCTCCTGACTTCAGGGTGGGTTCTCTGTCCACTGCGCCACCTCGCTGCCCTGGCAGGCCTCTTTTCTAATAGGGTTCCATTCCACATTCTCTTCTTTTCTTCAGGCCAAGAAGGGCCATGGGCACTCAGGGAAAGCATCTCTCCTTCAGTAAACTTCCCTGAGAAAACCGCTTTGACCCGGATCTTCTGGCCTAACAGGTCAGAACATGCCAGCCCAAACTGCCCGTCTGACTGAGCTGCCCAGTAGTCCCCGCGCCCCTTCTCTCCAGCCTTCAGACGCTGATGAGCCAGCGGGAGATGCCCTTCCCGGCCTTGTCCCTTCTTGCCTTCCGGTCATCTCACTCCTTACGGCCCCAGCTTCCTCTGGGGTCCAGGGGCACCGGCCCCCTAGGACTCTCTGTCTCCCAGTTCCAGGCCTTTTCACGGGTTGTACCCCATGCCTGGAATGCTCCTTCCCCTCCCCTCTCTTCCCCCTCCTCCCGTCCTCTTGTTCCTCCCTCCCCTCTTCCTTCTTCTCCCCCTCCTGTCCCTCACTTCCTTCAAGTCTGCTAACATCCCACTTTCTACAAGAGGTCCCGCCCATCATCCTTCATGCTGGTGCCTTCCCACTGGGATGATGCCCAGTTGTCCCAGGCCGTAGCTTTTCTGTAGAGTTGTCTGCGTGTCATCTTCCCCACTGGGCTGGGCAGTCCTCGAGGCGAGGGACTGGCTTTTGCCTTTCTTTCTCCAGCATTTAGCTCACTTTAGCTATACAGTAGGCACTTAATAAATGCCAGTTGATGGATGAGTTCACTTTGTAACCAGGGATGAGTGGGGAGCCTCCTAAAAATGCCTCTAGTCTCTCTTCCAAGGTTATTGGAATGAGATCATAGAAAGGGTTGGGGCTGGGCAGAGCTTAGAGGAAAAGGGAGAGGCCCCGGAGCTCAGGTGACCAGCCCAAGGTCACCCCAGCAAAGCCACAGCTCAGTGGCCGTTCCCCCAAAGGCCTCACTCCCCAAGCTCCCATCTTGGCAGTGTTTAGGGGTTTCTTCCCAGGACTTCCCTCTGAGCCAGGGAGGACCAGTGTCAGGAGTGCCCTGGTTTTCCAGGGGTGATGCCCTGGAGCAGTCATTGCCAAACAAAGACACAGACTCCTCCCTGACCAGCCACAAGTGGGCATGTG